CGGCGACTGCGGAGCGTCCCGACCGAGGCTGGTCTCCAGGCAACCACAGGCCCCGCCCCGCCCTTAAAGGGACCGCCGGCCGAGAAGCCGCTGAGCCACAAGGCTCGGCCCCTCTGGTCCAGAAGTCCAGGTGGCAACCTGGAGCTGGACGCACCTGACGCAGGTTTTCCCAGCTCTGTTAATTGCCGCGTGGCCTCGCAGCGTTTATCTTCACCATAACACAGGAATCCAGGCGGCTCCCACTGCCGTAAACAAATTACTCCAAACTTAGTGGCTTAAAGCAACACGAGTTTATCATCTTACGATTTTAAGTTAGGAGTCCAGCAGGACTGGTTCCTTCGGTGGCTCCAGAGGAGAATCTCTTTGTTTTTCCAGTTTCTCGACGCGGCCTTCCTACATCCTCGGTATCAGCTGAGAAAGGTTCTCCAATTTTTAAGTCACGGGGTAGATTGGGCCCACCCGGCCAATCCAGGATCGTGCCCCGCTTCATGACCCTCCCCTCAACCACATCTTCAGAGCCCCTCTGGCCACTTGGGTCACGTATTTGAGGGCTCTCGGATTAGGACACAGCGGTGAGGGAAGGGGGGTTGCCTAAGACCCCCATTTGTAGAGTTCCTGCAACTATTAAATGAGATCCTGTAGGAGGGCACCACAGCATAGGCACTTAGGACAATAATTACTCGATTATTTCAATACGTCTAAGGAATTCTAAGTTTGCAAATAGAAGCTGAGTAGGGGGGGAGGCCACACTGGTCACTGTACAGCCCACAGCCGTCTGGGTCCACAGGGGCTTGCTTTCGTCTCCGGCAGGACGAGATTCCACGAAAAGTTATCTGACAACAGGGCTTCTGCTCTCAGGACCAGTAACAGGAACATCTTGCGATTCCCACCCCAAAAAACCACATCACAGCATTAAAGTTACAGAAAAGTCAATCTTTTATTTCCCCTTGCCTACGAACGTTTGCCGGGGAACATTTAAAAATAGTGACCCCAGGCCCCACTTGGCCATTTTCCTCCAGCTGGGCAGAGAATCTCTCTTGGTTTTTTTTTTTTTTTTTTTTTAATTTAATGTGCATTCGGGTGGACAACCCCGAACCCAAAAGGACCGTAATTATATGAAATAAAGCCATTATGAATTTAATCATACTACGGGCTGAAAGTTGCTGACTAAGATACCTCAGGCCACAGCAGCAGAGGCCCAGGTGGCTTTCGAAGCGTTCGTCCTGTTTCTGTAAGACATGCTCTTCTTGCCTGTACGTGCGCACACACATTCTGGTGCGGGACAAAAGCCGGTGCAAGCACTGCTCCGCGTGGTTTGACAAGGTTTTCAAGATCATTTCTAGTGGATCTGGTCATTTTCTTTTTTTTTCAAACAGGTTTATTTGGCAACAAGCTGACTCGTTAAAACCCTGCTTTGGAAAAGGAAAAATCTGCAATAAAACGTACAATTCTAGAAAGCGAGAGATGTTGTCACTTTTGAGAAATGAAATCCAGGTTGGCAATGTGTCTCATGGTCGGCCTTCCGTGGGGACAGTTCCAGGGATGGTCCATCTCACCCATGTGGGTGATCAGTTTCTTCATCTCACTTGTGTTTAGGGCGGTTCCAATCATCACCTGAGTAGGAGACACAACGGTTCCAAGTTTTACAAAGGCTTTGGGTACAAGAGCACCTCTCCAGCAACATTTTTCTCTGGAACGAGGATGGACACGATGACTATTCAAAACAGCGGTCCCTGAAAAATCTTCCTCTGAGGAACCCTACCCGCTGATATCTCAGGCCCCCTCCGCTTTGTGAAATCCAGCCCTTCCGTGGCTCCTTTACGGCAACACACCTCTGTTACAGACACTGACCACACCTGTCCAGGACGCAACCGGTCTCAGCGGCCCTCCCACCGCCCAGACCTGTCACCTTGGCAATCACAGGGCCTCTGAAGACCTCCCCGCTTTCCCCCTCCACCTGTTCTCCACTCAGCGGCCAGGGATTCCTTTCAAAAGCTGTCAGATCACATTGCCAGCGCTCGCTGATCACCTGGGTAAAAGCCCACGTGCATCGGTGGATTTGGCCCCTCATTGGCCTTGCGCCTGCGTCTGCTAGAGCGCATCCCTCCCTGCCCCTCTCCAGCACACCGGCACCCCCTTTCCTTTTTTAATTTTTTTAATGTTTCTATTTTATTTTTGAGAGGAGAGGGAGAGGGAGAGGGAGAGGGAGAGAGAGAGAGAGAGAGAGAGAGAGAGAGAGAGAGAGAGAGAGAGAGAGAGAGAGACAGTGCGAGCAGGGGAGGGGCAGAGAGAGAGGGAGACACAGAATCTGAAGGAGGATCCAGGCTCTGAGCTGTCAGCACAGAGCCTGACGTGGGGCTCGAACCCACAAACTGTGAGATCATGACCTCAGCCGAAGGGGGACGCTTAACCGACTGACTGAGCCACAGGCAGCCAAGGCACCTGCCCCTTTCCTCTCGCACAGGTGCACTACACAAGCACCTACCTTGGGACCTTGGTGCTGGCCATGCCCTCTGCCTGGGTCCTCCCTCCCCAGATACTGCCCGTCTCACTCGCCCTCCCTTCAGGCTCCTGTCCCTGCCTCCTCTTGATGAAACAGCACTCAGCTCATCTCTAGCTGAACTCTCCGTGCAGGTGAGCGGGCCCCCCAGCAAGCACTGGAAATCAGTGCCCCTGAGAAACCAGGAGAGGTGGTGTGAGACAACAAACCTGAGACGTGTGTCACCTTCCTTCTTCCTTGTGCCACGCATAGCCCCAGAGGCAGCGTGCGTGGGGTGCTCCACCTCACTGGGGCGGACAGACCCCAGACAAGTCAACAGAGAAACAGGTGTCACCCAGGGAGGGCGGGGGGATGGCGCCCGGGAAAGCCCACTTCCGTGGGGGACCTGGGAGAGCCCAGGGCTGGAGGGAGTTGGGCGGGTGTGTGAAGGCGGCATGCGAGGCGGGCAAGCGCAAAGGGCTTCGGGTGGGAGGAAGGCTGGTGTGGCTGGGGACGTGGCACGTGGCCGTGTGGCAGGAGCCAAGCGAGCAGAAGGGGCTGAGGGGCTGGCAGGGCACAGGCCCACGGGGTGCGGCAGAGGATCACCCACAACGGTCAGCAGCTGTGCTGACGGGAGGACGAAGAGCCACAGTGCGGCGGCCCCGCCAGGGTGGGGAGGGCAGGGCAGCCTGTGGCTCCCCGAGTCCGTGTGGCACCTTAAGGCAGGACACTCTAAACCGCCTGGCCACCGGCCCAGGCCAGTCTGCCCTGCCTCTTGCTCACCGACCCCGGGGTGGGGGCACCAACACTGTCTTCATCAAAGAAATACCTGTGGCCGGAAGTCAGATCCTCCCCTCACCCCTCCCCGAACTTCATCCAATCCCCAGGCTGCACAGTGCCCCTGAACTTTGCTCCCCGACTGACATTTCCCCGAGCTCGGATTCATTAACCTGACCGTTTTCCAGACCCCTGCACTTACAGCCTCATGGGGCCTCAAATACCACACGTCCAAATCAGCTTTTATGCCTCCCACCCCCCCCAACTGCGAGCAAGCTGCTGCTTCCCCGCCGCCTTGTTCTGGAAGTTCGGGTGCCCCCACGACAGCCTGCGCCTCAGCCCTTCCAGCCCTCCGCACGAGCTCCCCGGTTCCCACCAGGATCGCAAGACCCCGTGTGGGTCCCAACGCTGCTCGGCTCACATCCGGGACCCCCTCCAGGACAGGCCGCCTCTGGCTTGGCTCACACGCTCCCCCCTGCCCCGTCTGTGCACCTGCTGTTTCTTCTACTAGGAGAGCTCTTCCCCGAGGGGCTCCATGCCCCTTCCAGGCGTCAGCCCAGATGCGTCCTCCTCACATGGCCCTTCCCTGCCTCCCAATCTCAGCTGCTCGACCGGGAGCCGAGGCCACTCCCTGTCCCCATACTGTTTTAACTTCTTTTCTGGGCCTACTGGTATCAGAAGTTACTACTTTGACTTAAGTCTCTTCCTCCCCACGAAACCTTAAACTCCACAAAGAGGGGGGGACCTCATCTGCCTTGTCCCCTCTGTGTCTTGGGCGGCACCTGGGTGGAGCCTCTGATGAAGGAAGGGCATCCCAGCTGCTCCCAGGGGTCAGGTGATCCAGATGCACCTGCTTCGCTCTGACATCAGGCTGATGACCCACCACCGCCACCACCTCCAGGACAGGCTGAGCGGCGGCGGGGAAACGTCACAGCGATTACGGGTTAGAGGCCAGAGATAAGGCAGACTCGCCCAGCTCGCACATCACACTGGCAGAGTAGGATGTGGCCGTATTACACACGATGACCCGTGGCAGTCGCGGCCACAGTCGACGGCGCTGCCTGGTCAGCAGCTGGCCTGTAGAACTCGTGCCA